CACAATATTTCATTAACCTCTCGATTTTCTTTGTAAATAAGAATAATACGAGCATTTCATATTTTTTGGAAGATGCTCTTGAAAAATTACAACTATTTTGCCGCGTAGAGATGAATAATGGATGACAAATTAACAAGTTGTCATTTGTTATTCAGATATCAATACATTCGAAAGGAATAAATTTCCTCAAAATTTAGGTTCCAATATATATATATATGGTAACCACGCAATGTCTTTGCTCTCAGCCTCCTTCTCTTAGCCTCCGTACCCGCCAGTTTAAGGAGAGGGAAGCAAGTTGTCGCGTAAAAGGTATTATTCATTGTTCTCCCGAAGTGCGCGGGCTTTCCTAATCGGCTGAAACGTCTGGCAAATGCCCCATGGGTATCTCATCGGCGCAAGAGTGTTAGATGTAGAAACGCTTTTGCGTAATGAGTAGTTGAGATTCCTTGTTAAGGAGCCACCGAAACTCTGCACTGCGGCTTTCGTGCGGTTCCCAACAGGTTTCGACGTTTCGCATAGTTTCTTCCTGCAGTTCTGCTTTGTTGTCGATCCTATGGAAAGGCACATGCTCTATATGTTCGACGCACTACTCTCTGTAGATTACGTCAATTCGAACGTACATTAGTTTAAGAAGCCAATGCGTACTTGCTTTTTCGAAGTTCAAGACCGTAAAACGTAATTTTGTTTTTTTATCTAAACTAATTAGTAATTAGTGATGCTTAAATTAAAAATTTGTTACTTTATTATTAAAAAGAGCCGCATTACATTATTCAAATTACTGTATTATACTCTGAGAGAAAAAATATTTAAAAATATGTACTACAAAAGTCAAGATAAAAGTACCAGTACTAGTAAAAATACTACCAGAAAAAGCGTGTTGTAAATAATCACAATCGATTTTCTCGTTACTAATTGTTACCACTTTTATCTCGACGCTGGTTGGACGTTTCTGTTTAGATGTGTTTCTTGTTGGATGTGTTTCTCGATTTATGTCGTATATATCAAGACGCACGGTAGTGCCTCTTATACGCGAAAATTATATTGTGACAGAAGGAAGAAAAAAAACACCACGTGATTAGAGCAACGTGATTATATATATATACTACAATAAGGTCACTGACCTTGGTCGCGTGACCGCGGCGGGGTGACTGACCTCGGTCGCGTGACCGCGGCGGGGTGACTGACCTCGGTCGCGTGACTGCGGTGAGGTCACTGACCTTGGTCACGTGATTACGGTATATATATAATATATATATAATATTATATATATAGAATATTATATATACTATATGTAATATTCCCTTTTTTACTCTTTTTTCTGTCATATAACTTTAGTTACGTGTTGTTTTTCCACTTTTCCCTCTGACTATTTGTTCATTTTGATTTTCATGCGTTATTTCTGACGTTTCTCTAATGTGTATTATTGTATGGTTTGTAAGACGTATATATAATACTAGCTGTCATCGCGGTCACAGGTTGTGTTCACTGACATAACACGTTAAAATAAAAAACAATAACATCGTGCGCGTAGAGCGCGACTGTGTTGTTCTAGTTATTTTAAAAAATGAGAGTAAAAACTAAATGCACATAAAATATATTTACTTTTTATCAAACAAAAATGTACACTACTTGGTTACCGTCTTTCGAAGATGTGAGTAATAAGATAAATAAAAACTATTTGCTTTGTGACTTAAAAATAAATTGATAAAAATTTAGGCTAAAATTTGAAATAACAAGAATTAAAATTATGTAGTTTACTCTGCTCTTGTATAATAAAAAAATAAATATTGTTTGTTAGGAGAGAGCAATTTATGAAATTAACGGAAATACATCTCGAAAAACAACATATACTGTATCTATATTGCGATATATTATTGTAATGTTGCCTTACGTAATATATGTGCTTTTCAATTAAATTCCTTATTCGGTTTCACTACAGAATCCATAACAAAGCAGTTTATCCAGAGAGATTAATTGCTTGGTATCATCGTTTGATCATAAAAATAGACAGAGTTTATTTGATTGAAGTACGTTTCATATATTCCGCTATTCTTTCTCTTTCGGTTATTCATTCGATTTATTTGAAGCGTCATACAGCAATGAAACAAATGTTTTTCACACAAATAACATACTTTTTGTCATTTTTTTGTTCATCGTTTGACTTGTTGATCTTTATTGTTAATTGTCGAACGTTATAATTGTTCTCTTTTCAATTTTATTATGCGTGTTGCTCATTTGATCACATATACGCACACTCTCGTACACAATCACATTACAAACCATAGTATCGTCTAACACACAGCGTCTTAGGATGTTACGCCGCACAGCTGCAAACTATTTTCTAGATCATCTCTGTAGCATAGCAAACTAACTCGGCAAGTTGCGAAATCGTCACGTTCGTGCGAACTGGTAGTAATCAAGACTGAAGGAAACACTGTGGATAGGAACAGCAGTAACGATCCGAATTTGCATCGCGTGGTGAATAATCCCGCGATTCTAAGAATCCGTATTATTGTCAACGAAGGAATAAATTACGCCCGCGCTCTTTTTAACTCTTTCACTGCTGACTTAATGAAACACCGTGCAACCTGTCTTTGCTAAAGTATTTGTAGCAGTTTTTCAAAAATAATTAAATGAACTCGCAGGTCACTCTCGATAGTCATAGAAAAGAGATCGAAGTTCGAGTTTCGCGAAGTTTAACGCACGAAAACTATTTCTGTCGCTGGATATTAATCTTCTAAAGTCTCGAATATACTCGAGCTCAGTAGTAAAAGGTCATTCAATCACTCTCAATTCTTAAAATTAATCTTAAATCAAGAATTAAAAAAAGATAATAAATTGAATTTTGAGTTTTGTCAAAATGCTAACATATGCAATTGTCTCTGTTTTGTTTCGTATTTTGTGCAAATAATCCTCGAAGGCAGCTATCGTTAAGCAGATGTCTTACAATACAATTACAGTATGTTGCATATGAACTTGGCGCGCGCCGCCTGCGCGGTATGCAACGTCGACCCAATTGAAACTGAACTCTGCGGCTGGCCGATCCGCGCTAATTAATTACTACGCTGCCGGCAAATTCATTACAACAAACACTGCTTCTAACAATGGTAGCGGCGAAATGTTTAGCTACATTATCCTCATCGTCCGCGTCGCTCAACCGAAACTGTAGTGCAGTCGCATTGAAAACGATCGCGTGTAAACTTCACGTAGCCGGTCCGGCGCGCGTGTAGTTCGCACCTGTATATTTTCCATCTGAATTTGCTGATTACCGCATCGGACACAGAGTCGAAGCGCCCGATGTATGACGCCGCAAATAATCATCGTGCAACGGAAAATGCGATTGAACCGCGGCGGCGAATGAATTTTATCGTTGAAAGTTTCGTTTCGATTGCGTGTGTAACCGATCGCCAATCGGTCTTCTCTCTCTCATTGAGGAAAGAGAAATTATTTATATCGCTATTGTATTTCTTCCTAAACGCGCACATCCGTGTTTAACGTGCATGAAACTGGAACAAAAATCTACACAAAAATACGAAGCGATGTAATAATATTGCGTAATGCACAACTGGTTTGCTTGTAACTTGCAACAGATGTATCTTATTACAATACATGCCGATACTAACAATAATAATGATGAATATTGTTACGCAGTTGATACGCAGATAATATATAGTTTCATCGAGAATGATAAAATAATTTATTTCAGCAAAATGATGTTCCTCGTCGTTATAACTTTCGGATATATACACGGCGCGGAATTAAATTCCAGAAATTTTATCCGCGCTTGCGTGCGGTGTAGATGACAAAAAATACAATGAATATAACGAGGGATAACGAGGAACCAGGGAGATATATAGAGACGTTTTCTCTTGAAACTTATATTGTAACGCCAACTCTGCGAAGAGTGAAGTAAACTTGCGAAAACGTTCGATGGAAATGCCCGGGAGATATCGCGGTTCGAAGAAGAATCGTTAATTATAACGATAATTAGCGGGCGCTCTTTTGTAATGGCAATTCTCGGGATTTCTCGGGCATCGATCCTTCACTTCGGATTCGCTATCTCCCGGACCAAGTTCGAGAAGTATAAATGGAATACGATTTTGTCCTAATTAGCCGTCCGCCGGAATTGGGATCTTTGTTCTCTTATGTAGGTAAGAGATCACTTCGGGCGTGATCTCTCTCGTATACTGCAAGATACTTTTATGTCTGTATGTATTCATGAAAAACTATTGATACTGCAGAAAACTGATTGAAATAAATCTTCTAATAGAAAGGAAGACTCGAAAAAAAGTAGATTTAATATAATTAAGAGATAAGAATTTTGGTCATGAGAGCCGTTTCACAGGATGTTGAACGGAAAAACCGCGTGTGAATATATGCATACATATATATGTATGTATTTGTCTTCGTGTAAATTTCTTTACACGTTGAATTTGAATTGAAATTTTTCAATTCTAAAAAAGACAAATACATACATATATATGTATGCATATATTCACACGCGGTTTTTCCGTTCAACATCCTGTGAAACGGCTCTCATGACCAAAATTCTTATCTCTTAGTTTAGAAACTTCGGAGCCGATAATTTCTTAATTTAATATAATTACTCTCTAATTATCTATTAAATTAAAAATTTTTTAATGAAACGTCATAGATATTATTTCGTGAAGATGTCGAGGATATAAAAAAAAGTAACCTCGCCCGCTAACTCCTCGTCACACAACGAAAGTTCATCATTAAACTCATTCCTTGCTCGCGAGAAAACAATCTCTCTCTCGTTACAATTCACAAGCGAATACGATTGTGAATCGAGTTTTCTAAAAACAAGATTATAATCTAAAAATATGTATATATCATAACATTCACAAATAGTTCCATCAAATCTGGAACATTTATTGAAACGCGACACGGTTTCTCGAAGGAGCTTGCGAGAATGTATAGCGCTGTAGCGTTTAATGAGCCTGCCCTGAATGCGGATTCTCCTTTTTTTGTGGTTTCAGCCGTGCGAGAAATCGGACGATTTTCGCGCTGCACAATGTGCCGCCTTTAACAATGTGCCATACAGCGGACAGCTGCTCAAGTGGTATCCCCATTACGATCCGGCTAGACCGTGCGCTTTGATCTGCCGTGGTGAGCAAACTCTCGAGAACGGCATTACACACTCACGGCAGGAAGTGTCGTCGTCGTCGTCGTCGTCGTCGGCCGAAAGGACGTTGCCCACCGACAGTCTGCAATTCGACAGCGACGAAACGATAGTGGTGCAACTGGCGGACAAGGTGGAGGACGGCACAAGATGCCACGTCGAGGGCACGGACGTGTGCATAGACGGCGAGTGCGTGGTGAGTTCTTCCTCTTTTACATACATACATACCCGCGTCCGAGTTATTAGAAATACAAATTTTTATTTATTTTTTTTCTCAAAAATAAGATGAGATTTTTTTTGTTTTTGAAAAAATGCAAAAGTTGATTGTAAATTACGAGGTGCAAGAGAAGTGGATTAATTGTGTTTTAGACTCTCGTGTCTTTTGAAATTGACAAGTACAGGAGGGAGTCGAGTCATTATCCTGCGCGCGCCCTTATTGTGTTCTACTCGCTGATCCGACGCTTGAATTGAAAACCAAGAGCGGTACTCGATTTCTCATCCAACTTCCTCTCGAACGCTCGTCACGGCGAATAATTTCGCGAGGGAAGAGAAAAGAGCGCACGTTAGATATTTCAATAATTTCATTGTTTTTACGCGTGTCTTTAATGAAGAAGACGTTGAATAGAGAGGGAGAGAGAGAGAGAGAGAGAGAGAGAGAAAACGTGCGTATTTTGTTCTTCAAAAATTTTCGTCGAAACTGAAATAATTATCACGAGCGGGATATTTTTTGCTCATTGGAAATCGTTAAAAACTGTATTAATATCGCTTATCAATTTATACGTTCTTCTTCATAACAACGATTAAATATGTTTTACTTCCGGCCAAAGTTTCAACAGCTGAACGTGTATATAAAGCGATCTATTGTATGTGTATATGCGTGTGTGTGTATTTCCATCTTTCACGTTCCAATTATTATCGAAATTGCAACACGTTACAATTAAAACGAAACCGAGCTTTCGTTTGCAACGAAAATTACTATCGCCGCAAGCGATTACTCTTTATAATTGTCTTGATCTCTCGCGAGAGATGTAATTATCGATTCTTAACCGCGGCATTATCGGAAACCATGGATCTGTCACGTGCAGACCGCAGTATGTTAGGTGCGAGGAGCATTAAGCGGTAGAGTACAGTGCGCCGCTTGTCAGTCACTATAAATTGTCGGTCGATCAACACGTATAGGCCTTTACTCGTTAATTACGGAATTACAACGATACTTAGACTTCACTCAACCATAATTTAGTTAATAACGATGATGCACGGTAAGATGTACGGTCAGATGGGTCAAATTTCCTGTCCTGTTTAATTATGTTTGCGCGGTAAAATTACACGCAGATAAGTAAGGGTAATAAATTATCCTTCTTTGTGGTATTAAATGAAAAAAATTCTAAGCCGAAGGGACATGTAAAATGCCACTGGAATTCTTGTTTTTTTTCAGGTTTTTAAAAAATATTTCGTTCACCGAGAGGAAGAGAGAAAGAGACGATTTAATATTGCAATTATAATATTTACTATTTTCGCGTTTCCATATTTTCCGCGTGCGAATATCTGATAGAGTGGTTTATAAATAGATATCAGAGAGAGACATACGAGAAAAGTTTGCGTATACATAATTCAAAATAATGACGTTCGAGTCTCAAAATTTACTTTTTGACTTATAAATCTATTTAAATCACGCGTTCCTATTTTTGCTCCTATGTCAACTCGTTCTCGGTCGCGTAGCTAATATCTTGTAAATTTACATATTAAATTTACGAATAAGCTGGACCAACTCGCCTCGCATTTTGAACATCGATATAATCCGATCTGTAATTTTGATCGAATAATTACTCAATTAATTAATCAAGAGTCGCGTGTGAACCGAACAATGTATCGGCGAAACGTTACCTGAAACACTAAATAGGGGGAGTAACCTTTATGCGCATGAAAGCCACGCTTGAAATTAATTGTATTAACGTGAATGCAAATTATATGTATTAAATTATGGATAATATATATTTAGCAAAGAAAAACTGATTTCGAATTAATCAAAAAGACATCAAAGAGCTGAAAATCAATGATAATATACATATGCAAAATGGACACACATATATTACAGATAATGCGGTCGATGTCATTCTCTCTCTCTCTCTCTCTCTCTTTCTCTCTCTCTCTCTCTCTCTCTCTCTTTCTCTCTCTCTCTCTCTCTCTCTCTCTCTCTCTCTCTCTCTCTCTCACATTGTGTGTTTCCGTATTTTTATTTTAAATTCTCTGCCGTAACGCGCGAGAGACGAAAGAGTTTGACAAATTATTAATTATCAATTAAGTAGATAAGCAACGTTTTTTTAAAAAAAAAAAATACTTCGCGGGAGCCTTAAGACTGAGATTAAACTGCGGGCGTTACTTAAGAATTTAACCGCAATTGCTACGTCTCTTGTCGAAACTTTCGTGGGGAAACTTTTGGAGTTAGAAGAGAAACTCTCCGGGATCGGAGGAGATTCGCCTAGATGTCGGCACATAGGCGAATGTTCCGGTGAGGAGCGGGAGAGGAAAGGGAAGTGGTAGTACCTTAAACATATTCGCGACTCGTCGGTTTTCCGGCTTCAACCGCGACACCCCGGCACGCTTTACATCTTGTTGAGAAAATGCAACCTAACGAAGTACCCGCGACAGTCTTCTACTAATATTTAACGTGGGCGTGTCGAGAAGCCCGATCTCATCGTCCATTAGCTTAATTTGATCTACATGTATGTATACGCTTATGATGTATGTGTGTGTGTGTGTGTACGCATATATGCAAACATAGTTTCTAGAAACGTAATGAAGATTGTCCGGCACATTATATACTGCGCGTGTGTTCTTCTGATAAGAAAGTATAATTTTTGACGATTGTTTTAACGAGACATTTCAAAATTAAATTTCATTAAAATCTCATTCGAAATATTCTTAAATGTAAGCTTTGTCGAGATATTTTTAATTCATAATTGTTTTATCTTTTACATTTATAGACATTTATATTTAATTACGTGATGTTCCAAAAGTGATACATTTAAATAACCAAAATATAAGATTTGTTATAATGAAACTTTATTTATTATTCATGCGCGATGTCTCGTTGCTGGAAATAGCGCAATATCAAATTGTTATATTAAAATGAAAATGACATTACTGTAAAAAAAATTTATTTAAAAAAAATTTATTTAAATTACACTAATAAGTAATGTTTGTGAGTAAATTTCAACACTTCGTCGAGTTTTTATCTGCGTAAAACTGTGACACTTTTCCGTCACGTGGAATAATGCGCGTTCTCGACAGTGGCATTAAAATCTTAATTCTTTGATCCTAAATTAAATGAGACTCGTGATACCGCGAAACAGCCAGAAAGAAATCGGATTAACAATAACGCCGAGGGAAGCGCGTTCACGGTATGCCGGGAAATAATTAACGGATTCTCATAACGGCCGACGCCCGCGACGCAGTCGCAGGGACAATATCTAATCAGCAGAGAAGTCCACGTAATTAAGCATTAAGCAAACTCCGGTAAACGCAAACTGGCTTTGCGTTATTAAAGGTACTGAGTCCCCTGTTCGTTGTGGGAGCGCCCGATGGACGGCCGAGCTTTTTCATTACGTTGGGCGCGCTCGTTAAAATTTATCTTCGGCAAAATTATTTTTCTCACTCACTGTTCCTCAGGTGAGGTACGAAAAAAAATTATATCGCCCGCAAATTGCAGTTACTGCGTAACTTAGGTACAATATTGTTTTCTTCTCAACATGAATTACACGTATTTTTCTTCCCTCAAAACTTTTTATAATTCATTGGAAAATTCGTTTTTATCTTTTATACCGCGGATATATTTCTGAAAAAATAGTTACGGATGTGTTTTTCAAACGGTAAATCTTTCTTTTTCCAAGATTAGCTCTTCGAACGTCACTAAGAGAAGAAAAACTGCGCAGTGATATGTAGAATAGATAAACGTATGAGAAGTGCGGATTGAATCAGAGTTGTAGAATCCTGGACAGGTGCACAATAAATTTCATCGTGCCAGTGAAAACACGAAGGCGAATGGAGTGGCCGGAGTTAAGCACCTCTTCCTCCACTCTGTAAATCCTATTCTCGAGAAAACTATGTTAAAAGATAGAAACGAGTGCTAGGGAAAGAGACGTTGGGGTGGGCTGGCGGGGAAATGGCAACGGTGGAAAAGGTGGATATCCTAATGGTGCAGAGCGACGGTACATACGAGGTGAGAGGAGTGCTTAGGACTGGAAAGGTACATAGAACACCGAATAGAAATCGCGAGCGCATGGTCGAATAATGGAACGTCAGTCAAATTTGCGCAGCGAAATCACTACGGTATGGAAAATCGCGAAACATTGGCTATTATAAGCTACGTTGCGTCTTTACTCGTCTGTTCGTACTTCCACCCCGTGGAGCAGAGAACGAATGGACCCAATAATCGATTTCAGTTTGGAAATATTGGAAAATTTATTGTTTACGCAAGTCTTGTTACTAGATTGTTTCTGTTACCGTGTTCAAAAAATTTAAATGTCAGAATTGACAAAATAAATCAATTTTTTTATATAATAAAACAACTAATTAAAAAAAGTATTCAAATAGATCTTGTTATTTAAACTAAATTTATGTTTATAAAATTTCAACATAGTAAACCAATATCATATTTATGAATACAATGTAACTGAAGAGCAACATATGCGTAGTAACAAAAATTTGTCCAGACGATGATAACATCATCAATTCTAATTTCGTGTGTTATGTCTTATATCGTTTCTTATTACAACAGTTGTTTGCGTGGAACAAAACAGGATCGCGAGATCCGACGGCGAAGCGCCGTTAAATCCCGCGATATTTCATCTCTCACATCCAGGACGGACTCTTCGTTTCTTCTACGACTTGTTTACCTAGAGAAATAACTGGTTGATTCGATGAGACCCAACCTTCCAATTATCGGCTCTCGTCATTGATTTTCACTTCCACAAGAGACAAAGTAAACCTAATTCGTCGGCGCACCTCCGTCGTGTTCCTGCCTGTCGCACAAAGAAGCTTGCACACGTGCTCCTGTTGAGACATTTCATTTCAATTCGCCGATACGACGAAGATAAAGTGGCGAAAAACAAACTCATCCTCGTATGAAATTAAATCTTCTATATATATTCCGAGATATATCCGCGCGACTCTTGATATATTTCGAGATATCGCGGATGATTCCCGCGTTTTTTTTTCAACCTTACTCTTGATTATCTTTGTGGGAGTCTTTCAATGTGATAAAAGTTTTTTCTAGAATTGTGATAAAAAGTGAATGATAAATCTCAGTTGAAAATTGTTTTCGTTATTACGTTTTTGACTTGTTTATTTCCGAAGATATTTTTATCGTTCTTAGAAAAAGTATTACCTCGATTCGATCTTGCGCATCGAGCATATATGCTATATGTGTGTGTGTGTGTGTGTATATATATATATCTATATTCTTCCGTGCTATTCGACGAGAGTGCATCTCTCAATCCGCTCGGATCGACACCCCCGTGTTCCCTCGGACATTTTTGCCCTCGCGTTAGTGTAACTTCTCGATGCGTGAAGCCAACCTCGGGCTATTAGAGAACCCAGTCTCGTTTCGAGAGAAAGAGAGAGAGAGAGAGAGAGAGAAACAGAGAAAGAGAGAGAGAGAGAGCGGAAATAAAGTGCCCCGCCTAAACCCCGGACTTCGGGCATTGGCGCGCGGAATAAAACTGCGCCTCGTAACCCCGCCCGCAATTGGCCGAATGACGATCGCCGATGTTTAATGGAGGTATTTCGCGGAGCGTTTGAAACTTGAACGATAATCGAGCCCGATTTCGATTCTCGAGGCCAAATCGAACGGTCAATTGGGACCGAAATAGAGATCGTGCCGAGGCCGAGTACGCAAGTCGCGCCGGAATTTACAGCGCAATTTTCGTACGGCAATGTCTAGCTTTTATCGAGCGACATTGTTACCCGGTGGAATTTTATGTAATAGAGAATACAAACGTGTGTAATGGGTGATACTTTGTGCAATTCGAAACGATATCGGACTGAAACCAGCACTTCCGACGAGGCTTTGACGACCTTCAGGGGCGCGCGCAATCAAAACGTACAATTTAGTCACATTATATCGATCACTTCATGAAATTTCTCGGGTTATCTCGGGCTACACACCCACGCAGTTGATCGTACGAGGGATTCCTCGTTAGGCTCACACGTCTCGCTCCTCCTTTTTACCCTCTCGCTCGCTCCTTCTGGCATCTCGAACGCGTCCCACTTCGAACGCTCGTTCGCTCGCACCCTCGTCTTCCAGTTTGTACTTCACTCTTCTCGTCCCGGATAAGGGATGAATAATGTACTTCCCGACCTCCGAGCAAACCTCCATGCAACCTGAATGACAAATCAGCTTGCCGTCCGAGCCAGGTTACGAATCGACGTTGGCCTCGTCCCCATCACCTCCAATCCCCTGATGTCTCTTTCCTAAACTCTTCAAAAATTCTGGATTTTTGCGCAAATTTCGCGACAGCGCGAGCTTGGTCAACTTTGGTCTTTTTAATGTTCCTGAAATGTCACTGTTATTGTGAAAAAAACTTTAATTTCCACCGTCAAAAAATATTTATATTAGGAAAATGGCAAGTCGATGCGCGACGCGAATTCTGCGTACGAATAAAAACAAAAAGCAAACATTTTATATATTCCACACCGTGCGATATAATCTTGAATTACTTTTAATGAAACTTGAAATACTTGTAGAGTAAAAGTTTGGACACAGAAAAAAAAAGAATGTTAACTTGTTGTTACAGTTGTTTCAAGGCAAAGTTTTGCGATAATCGCGGTTGAAGTTCATTATGTGGAAGACGTGTTTCATCAATCGAGCGTGTATTTCTGTTGCAGAAGGTTGGCTGCGACCTTAGAGTGGGTAGTAACAAGAACACGGATGCGTGTGGCGTGTGCGGAGGGAATGGATCAACCTGCCAATCGCGATACTCATGGAGTTTGGAATCGATATCCGCCTGCTCGAAATCCTGCAGCGGAGGTTGGTAATTACTGAATTAATTTAGTCATATTTCTTTCTTTCCACGCAAACAACGTAAACGTTATCTGAATAAAATATTGTACGAAAGAGACATTTATCTTCATTTTTTTTGTTGAAAGTTTTATTAGATCGTGAAATATTAACACACATTCAGCAACTATAGTTGTTTCTCTTCAAACAGTGTTTTGCAACCTTATTTCAAACAAATGTGTGAATTACATTCGATAAAATTTCTTTCCCTCCAATTACGTTCTCAACAAAAAGACGACCAGCGAGATTTACGAGCAGCAACGTTGTTTTAAAACGCATAAACGTTCAACGGGCTAATTTCTCCGCTCGCGTTTTTGCACCAATATAGGTATCAAGATGGCGATAGCGGTGTGCAAATCGGTCGGCACCGAAGAGAATGTTGTGGAGGACAGTTATTGCGATGCAAAGAGCAGACCGGAGAAGACCCTAATGCCGTGCAACACGCACCCCTGCACAACGAAGTAAGTGCTTTCAGACAGACTAAACTACTTCCACAGCATATAGAATTGCATGCACGTTCTACGTCAAAGACCGTCAAGCTGTTCGCGTGAACAATCAAGGAACAGACGTATCTTTCCTGCAAACTGTACACGTACGATTTTATTCACGAAACCAATATCTAGTCGTATGAAATATTTTTTTTTTTTTTCATATTCCTCGCTAACGCGAATAAATGATACTTTAAACATCGTACAAATGTCTCGGAGATCTTGAGGGAAGAGCAAATGGGGAAAATTAGAAATCGGTACTCTCGCTACGAGCAATCTTTGTTCCTGTAACAATATTTCTCTTTCGTTCAGTGGAAAGGGTTACGAGGCAGCGATTTAAAGCCAGTTTCTCGCGATGGGAATCGTCCAACAAACGACGAGATACTCCCGTTGCCCGACGAGACTCGGACAAAAACTCCCGCAAACTATTCTCTCTGGATACGCGGGCTCGCTGAAAGCCGGTGGTATAGCGTTGAAAGTTTACCAGTCTGGTGTACAGAATTTATTCTTTGTGCTTGAATTTATGGTTCAATGTTCCACGAGGCGGTCGATGGCTGGTCTTTGTCAGTGCCTCTTGTTGTTCTTTTTTTTTATGTTGCCTTCTGTCAAGTTTTGCGCAGTCTGTTTCCGCAAACGATTAAGAATTTATTTCAACTCGCAACCGCGAGGATTGTTGTTGTTTTACTCAATTTTGCAAAACGATCGAAACTCGAATTTGCTCTGCAAAATCGCGCGAGTTAGCATATAAGATTCTCACATTTAGTATCCGAGAGAGATTTATCAGTTGCGCGATGAGATTACTTCCTCTCTCTCTCATCTCGAGAGAACAATACGTCTCACTCGATCTATCTTACGTTGCTCGATCAATCGATCGAGCAAAAATTCGAGAAGATTGCCACTTGAAACACGTGCGACGACGCCAATATCGCGGACAGTATCGGAGATTGTCGATTTACCAATTAAGATGATATCGTAAATCGAGGTATTGGTGACTATAGAGAGAGAGAGAGAGAGTTCTCGATTCCTTAGTAAATTATTATTAGCGTCGACATCGAACGTCGAATCGATCAACTGGCTAATTGAAATGGCCGCTAGTTCTCCTTTGAATTTAGTTGGCTAAATCGACTAAGCAGCTCACCTTTCCTCCCAAGAGGAAACGCGACTCCGAAAAGCCGTAACCGCACTTTGAGGTAGTAATCCGCAAGTTATGATTTAATCGCACATTACGACTTCGCCAGTATGTTCAAGCAACCACGTGTATGTCGATGGAACATCTTAAGTTATCAACATTCGAGTTTCCCAATTAAGAAGCTGAATTTATTTCGAAAATATAAATGTAAAATATATAAATCAGTAATTTTTCACTCTAGTCTCCGAATATTTACTGTACATTATGACAATATTGAAATTTTAATTTTTATAAAAAAAGTACGGGAAGTTATTTTATATATAAAACTTTTACAAGTTTTAAGAAAGAATATACATTTTTTTGACGCGCGAGAAAATTTAAAAAAAAAAATACGGTCATGTCAACGTGTACATTACGGATTCATCGCGGATATCGCAGGTACACGTGCCACGACGTGAACGAGCTTTACGTCGTAAAGCCAATAGCTGTTAGTGCGATCGATCGATGAGATCCACACGGTGTAACACGTCAGCGTTTGATATTTGGTTTTTAGTTTGGAGAGGCACGCAATGCGCGAGGAAAATTGAAAAAGTTGGCAGCAATTAATTTCAAATCTCGAGAGGCGCTCTCTCTCTCTCTCTCTCTCTCCCTCGATGCGCAGGATCGCAGCTTTTATATCGAGCACCTGTGTATTTTTAATGCCCATGGTTTTGCCGTCGGAAATTGAACAGCATATCAAAGATGACTTTCGAGAGATCACACGCGAGAAAAGAATGTTACGGCTTGTCGAGATTGGCAAGGTCGACGATAATCGATAATCGATACGCAAGTAACGCCAGACACGAAATTTTTACCGTTTTACTTTGTCATTTAGCGCAATCGCTCGTACACGAAATATTTTTACGGTATCGTGAATGAAAAATGCCGAGAGTGACTTTGACAGTTTCGTAAAAAGTTCTGTTAGCGCGCGATGAAAGCCACTCTATCCGTGTTACTTGCTAAATACCGAGAAAATCGGATATCTCTCCTCGTACCCTCGAAAGTACAATTTGTCAAAGAGATTAACAAGGAGAAAGATAAAAATAGAGAAAGAAAAATAATAATAGCAGAGAGACACATTAGTGTTCAAATAGAAAGAGAGAGAAAGAGAAAGAGAAATTTATTGGAAAAACGCATATCAAAGGTAAACTTACCATGTTCTGCTGTTTATCATCGATTCTCATAATATAAAATATTTTAACATCGTAAATCGAGAATGTTTTTGGAAGAAATATGAATTAAAAATACATTCGATGGGTGCGAAAATATTTTACGACATAAACGAAGTTGAGTGTGAAAAATAAACGTACTCGTCAATGTAAAAATACATGTAAAAGCTTTTCAATGAGAAAACCTACCTCGCGTTTTAAATAAATTTTCACACAATATGTTTCCTTTCTCGAATCGTAAACTTTGCATCTCGCGAATGTTGATGACAGAGCAATTTCAATATTTTGTTTATAAACAATGCGTCCATAAAAGCTCGTCGTATTTTTTTTTCTACGAGTGAGGCAAAATTGCGTTAATCAGTTTTTGGCGACAATTTTACAGCTTTTCACTGGACGCAAGTAAACTCATGTGCACTCACTGTTGCGGTTCCACAATCAATTTTATGCGTTTCTGCTACTTTCAGCGATTTTCTCCGTTCTGTCTTTTCACAGATGGATAAGCGGAGAATGGAGTGCGTGCAGCGCGAGCTGCGGCGGTGGATCGAAAACGAGGTTTGTCTTCTGCGCCGAGGAAAACGGAAACGAAACCACGAAGGTAAATCCAAGCGAAGATACTTCTGGATAATAAAGTTATTGTTAGTTAAATTCACTTCGACGCTAACGAGTTCGTATAGGTAAAGTTCGAGAAATTACCTATATATAATAATAAATATATACATATATATACATTTATATCTTTTGTGACAACGTAAAACTGAAATTTTAAATTATACCACTTAAACTTTGACAGTTGCGGTCTGCGAAATATCTTTCGGTTATCGATATGTTACTCGACTATTCGTTTTAAGATGAGATTTTGACGCATGAATGATTAATAATCTCATTATTATCTCATTACTTTGTTCTACACTTGATCGCGAAATGTCAGTTTTTGTGAAAAAGGAGAAGCTTATCTTTTTTCTCACGTTTTACGTCTTTTTATTAATTTAAGGATAATCGCGCGCATTCCTTCTTTTCAATTATTTGTAAGTTTCTCTGACGCGCGCGAATTAATGCAGTTTCCATGCAAGAACATACGTACGTGGCCGCTATATTCGAGAATCTCGTGAAATGTTTCACGTCGCTTTCCAACCCTCAGAAAAATGTCAACGCAACGAGGACTTTACGATGTAAAGACAAATAAATCTTTGTGGAATAAATCTGTCAGCGTGACGGAATCAGCGTTACGCGTGCGCACGATAAAACGCCACATTTTTCACATTTCGCCACTGACGTTAGACACGCCGTAATTCCGCCGCGCGCTTCCGCGCGGACGGAACGTTAACCATTCCTCTCATCTCAGAAATTTTATGTCGTACTTTCCCTACTTGTCTGCGAGTCGCATTTACATACGTAGCCTGTCTCGCGACGGGATCCTGGAAGATCCCACGATCCCTAACCCAGTTCGGTTCGTTTAAACTTGAAGAGCGTCGCATTCGCGAGTATGCGCCACCCGCTCACCGTAAAATCTCCCCATCCGACAGCTCGCGTACATACATATATGCACATCGACAATTCGAGACTATATTGAATATATACAAGGTGTTTTACAACCATCTGCCGATGTTTTTTAAGCCAAGAATATTTTGGAATATTTTGAGTCTTTTTGTATTTTATTTTTAATAAAATATGCTTTTTATTTATTTTAATTCCCAAGAATCTTAAGTGTTCTGTGCATAAAAGCAATGTCACATAAAATTAAAATGAACGTCAGTTTGTTAATAAATGATTACCTACAGTTAGTTTACGGTTTGCGATATCTGCGCACCGACACTGAGAACAATAGAGGGAAAAGCATACGTTTCCGAAGTTCTCGGAACATCTTGTGCGTGCAACTCTCATTTGTGCGCAACACGATTTTACATCATATCCTTATCGTTGCAGCTGCCCGATCACAAGTGCAACATTGCGCATAAACCGCGCGCTCAGGAAACCTGCAACACCGTGTCCTGCCCGATGTGGGAGACCGATAAGTGGAGCGAGGTAAGAGATTGTCATGCAATTCTTCTGTGAAATAAAGTGAAACTCGCCCGCGAGGCGCCGGAGTTTCCCGTCCGCGTATCATTTAAGAGCGAAAATGTTAAGCCTGCCTTTGCCACAATCAAACAGATTTAGGTGCACACGTCGAGTCCAGTTGCAGACGCACATATACAGCTCGGTGCTATCTCCGCTCCCGAGTTTTACTACAGAGAATGTAGTATACTGGCCGGAGGGAAACAGGGTTAATGGCTGTGCGCGATTTGCGCTCTCTCCCTTTGCCCTTACTGTGAATGTTCTACCGGGTTGTAACATGTGTGAAATGACCGATTTTGGAGGTGTATCTTGCGCTCGCGTAAAATGTTCTCTCGAAATTTATACGTGAAACGTCTACCTAACAAATTGCTATTAATTGCTATTAATTTTAATTTATTTATTAAAGATACAAGGCTTTAACGTGGTATCGATTAACTTTGTAGTTCAATTAATTCTATATCTAACGGCGAAAAGTGGTAATTAGCAAGGATTGCTCGGACTTTAAATCGATATAATAACGAAATAACCGCCGCTGGCAGTTGGCGGCAATTGAACTACACGCAATAACACTGCTATTGTACCTAAGACCTTACAATTAGCGGGCTCAATTAGCGCTCTTCAAATAGCTCCCGACAGCATGTGCATTACTCAAAGAGCTCGCGTTAATTTATCTGTAAATCCAGACTGCGACGTCATTACACGGTTGGACACAAACGCGCGCGCGGCGCCAGTTAAGGAAGCCTTTAATTACGCGCGATAATATCACAAACGCATAAAACTCCCGCTTCCATCCTTTTCGGAACTGGTTACAACGCGAAACGTTTAAGGTAAAGCAAATTAACGGCTGCGCGCGATTTGCACGGGTGTGCCTTTCGGCGACGATTTCGAAATAGGAACGGTAACGAAAACCCAACGTTCCTCTCGTCTGCAATCACAATCCCTCATCGCGTTTCTCCGTTTCCACTCCGTGGGAATGTGATTTTCTTCAAAAAGCCGCACGTACATGTGCAATCGCTCGACTGCATATAGGTATACATACATCACCGTGTAACGGACAAAAGATAAAGTTGTGATGTGGATAAGTTTGTGTTTGCAGAGATGATCTTCATTTTCCAACGCGTAGAGAAGGAAATAAGAGAATTTTCAATGAAAGTTTCAAACTTGATATGCGCATACGCGCGAAAAGTTTTAACAAGTATATACTCACGTTGCACTTTTGTCCTTTATAATGAAAAATTCGCATTAGATCGGCTAACGACAAAAGCGATCTGTTCTTGCGCCTCGAGCGGAATAAATTTCACCTCAACATACCAGAGATCTCCATTTTTCTTTGGTTCATTAGCTGTCAACAAAAAGTCTGACTACTCGCACGGTTTTACTCCGGTATAACGACTTGTGGGCATTTCCAAAGCGGGGGTAGCTAAAAAGAAAGGTCCGCGAAAGATCGACGGGGAGATATGCTCGCGGTTAGTTCGCGCGCGCACGCGCATTGTTTTGCGTGGGGTTTGATTTTCAAGGGAATATATTAGTTACGTGTTTTATAAGTAATTAAATCAATTTAAAACACTTGTTTTTTTTTTTTTTTTTTTAACTTTTTGCGAAGAAAAAGTTAAAAGAATAACATGCGAGTCGCAGATCAGATACGTAATCAGATACCCTAATGTGTTATTTAAGTGCGAATTACAAATCATCTCACAAATAACCCAGTTTCCGTTTAATTGTGAGCAAACAACTCGTTTCCATAGCGCGGAACACGATAAATTTCTCTTTTCTCTCTTGATTAAGGCAGTTTGTTTGTTCCTACTGTTTTCCATGTCAGAGAGGTGTCTTCGTTAAAATATATTTTAATTCTTTACCCAACGCGCGTTTCTCTCGCGAGCCGAGTTTTCGCTCGGCGTATAAGAAATCTTGCCATTGTGCATGTAAATTGAAATATAGGATTCCACCATTGTTTTATGTGCATTTACATTCTAACTTGCTTTTACTCGCGGGTTTGTGTGTGTGCAAAAAAACGGATGTCGCAAATTAATCACAGGCGGAGCAATTCGATGCGAAAATCCATCTTTGTAAAATATTGCGGTACAACGTATATCCGCAAGGTGTCTATATTTGAAGCCGCCACTACACACACACATACATATCGGACGCTCGGGCACTAGGAAAATTATTAACTCGACGCTCGGCGGAAACGACGTTAATATCAATTCTTCTCTTTTTCAAGATGCTCTCTCGAAAAGAACATCGCTACTCAATAACTTGCTCGTGCATTCGCTCCGAAACGAAGGAAAGACAGAGAAAGGCAATACACTTTTTCACAAGCACAGACGGTTATAATATATCGAATAGTGGACGAGCACGGTGGGGATAAAACGGCGTTCTCATTCGCGCTGCCGTCGCTGCTCGTACGCTCCGACGACGACTAAATCGGATTTTCTCTGGGAAGGCGAGGGGAATCGCGATTCGTTCGAGCGGAACGCCGTTTGTCGGCTGCGGCGAATCCTCCGCGGCATTGAAAGAGGACGCGGTTATGTTTCCTGCTCCGAAAGATTCTGGCGTAAAAGTGGAGACAGACTGCAAACTGCCGCCTCGTTTTCTCCGCCGTCGAAATCCCTGTATACGAATTATGTTTAAATCCGGCGCGAATATAGACGAGTGTCGCGCGAACCGCACGAAGTTCTTACTTTGCGCAGGAAATGTTTTCCGAGCCACCACCCCACCACACACTTCATCTACAAGCCATATTCTCTCCCCGCGAAGAGCTCTCTTTGAAGATGCTCCAGGCCACATCAGCCACCAACATCAAACAGGACAATTTAGTCGCCAAATAACCGCCTCTTTCTCTCTCTCTCTCTCTCTCTCTCTCTCTCTCTCTCTCTCTCTCTCTCTCTTTTTACTCGTATCCCTTTCCATCAAATCGTCGCCTGACCTGGGTGAAAGTCTGCCCTTCTTTCCATGGCAAAGCCAAAGCTAACAGGGAAAGATGCGCCGGCATGAAGAGCTCTCTCCTTGCGGAAGAGAAATTAAAACACGCGGTAGATAAGAGAGAGATAAGTTGATAGAAGATCACATGCATTTATATCTTGTTTCTAAACGAACAATTTGCGAATAGGCGGGTAAAAATAATTTCTCGCTGTTCTTCAACTCTGCAGTTTTTTTTTTTTTTTTTTTTCAGGAAGATAAACATATTATATTTTTTGTAGATTATATAGAGAAATCTCTTCCTCTCTCGCGACGCGAGATACGATTTCTTATTTTGTATTTAAACATGGTAATAGAGAAATAAATACAAAAAAAAAAAAAAAACGGATTGATAAATCCTCTTTCTCACATTATTCTTCGCGCATCTCGTCGACCTTTCAATTTTATGTCACGCAGAAAATAAGATTGCTTTTTCCAAGTGGTACAATAAGAAACAGAGTGAGCACGCATATTTGCCGACAGAATTTCTTGCAGCTTTAAGGAAGGAAGCGACGGGAAATCTAGGAAAAATAGAAAAAAAAAAAAAAAAATGCGCCGAACTCACGGCGTTTTATCGTAAAGAGACTCGCGTTTGCTCGACGAAGTCACTTGCGGAAAACATGCACGTGCGCTTCTGCAAGCAGCTTGCGCGCACAATCGTGTGTATTATTATGTTTAGTGGTCACATATTTTCTCGGATTTTTAACAGACATATTTTTTTTGTTTTTATATCTGTGTAACAAAATTTTCTTCGTATACGCTCGATAAGAAAACTGTGGAATAACATGTTGTGCAACGACACTCGATTGTACTACGTCGACGGATAAATTTATTGATACGAACGCGTCGCATCGGGAGATCATCGTCGTTTCGCACGCGCAAGCAACATGCAACTGTTTTCGAGATCGTGCTAACGTTGCTCTTGTAACGGGACGCGATTTCCAGATATATCGACGTCGATATCAACGTACGACTCCGCGACGACGATGCCCGCGGCGCTTCCTGGCACGACGTTTAACGGTCGCAGTTTCTTATTTCCTCTCTTCGACTGGCCGAAAATCGACGTAGTTTCCTTGGAGGTATTCCAGAACTTTGATTTCGATGCGGAGAGATTTAACGCTCGTTTTGTATCGTGATCACGGAACAGCGGCTTTTTCTGCCTCATCAGACAATCTCGAGTCGTTCGCGATGAAAGCGAGGGAGGAATAAGAGCTAAGAGCTACATTTTACAAAAAAAAAAAAAAAAAAAAAAAAAAAAAAAAAAAAAAAAAAAAAAAAAAAAAACAATTTTTCTCTTTTTGAAGATTACGGGGGAAAAACAGTTTCTGAAACTATTGCAACAACAAAACAAACGTAGGAAAACAATACCATCTCTAAAATCTCTAAAACACACAGTGAAAAGATATATCGTCGAATAACAAGTTACTTCCGTAGCGCTATAATAGATACAAACTCGGGTACATCGAGAATACAACGTAAGAAGTTATATGTATAGAGAGAGAAAAGAGAGAGAGAGAGAGAGAAAGTAGGTGTGTACCAGAGTCGCCATAAAACGTCTGCATAAAACATAGGTAGCCCGGGATAAATTTACGTCGGCAGTGGCCGGAACGCTCATATACGTTCCGTTTACCAACGTTTCGTCGCAGCCTGCGTGCGAACATATGCAGTTCAAACAGACATGGTACATATTGCATAATATTCGAACGAGTCGCCTACGCCAGTTCCTCTGCATACTTTCTGGCGCAGTGCTCAACAACCCCCCGTCTCTTTTCTCTTCCCCTGCCCCTTCTCTCTTCTTCTGGTCGAGTTTCTTGTCGCAATAGACACTTAAGCTTCGAAAAATCAATACATTGTCTGGAAACCTTCCAGAATTTTCATTGTGCAACTCCTCGCGCGTCGTTAGATCGTCTTTTTTTTTTTCTTGCGAATCGCTCTCTGAGCGTCTCGATGTTGTTTGCCTCGCACGAGATCGGGGTGAAAGAAAAGTTTTGTCAAAATATCAGAGAACGCGCGTTTCGCAAATTGCACCATCTTATCTCTTATCTCTCTTGTCTTTATCTCTGTTACATTGTAACGAACGCGTGCCCGCGGGTGAATAAGTACGGGCAATACATGTTCGAGCACGTCTTTGAGATGCGGGCGCTTCAATCATCCTGAAAACTTGTTTTTTGTTTTTCGCGATGCGAACGCACATTCTTCGAATCGCCGTCAAACGTTTTCTCGTTCCTTTCTTTGAATGTTATTCAAATTTATTCCGCAATAAAAGTGTCGCGCGACTTTACACGTTCGACAACGCGCTTTACTTATCTAACTTGGAATTCCTCCAATTCCGGAGTTGAGCGCGCATTTCGGCCTTTTGTGCGAAAGCGATTCGAGAGATTCGAGGAGGATAACAATTCTTCGTTAAATTACTGATTATTTCTCACGTCGTGTTTTGTTTTTTTTTTGTATAAAATGTTGGAGAGAAAGTTGTGTTTATTACCGGTGACAAAACGCTCGTCGCGCATAAAACACCAGTTGCAAAAACTCTTTCGAAAATCTTGTCCCCGTGAGGTTGACTCGTCGAGGATTCCCGCTGCGAGTGAAACAGCCTTTCATGATCCTTGGGAATGCAGAAACCTCGCTACATAAATAAGAGCACGACGATGAACGTTACGGAAAGATAAAGACAGTAAAGAATGAACGTTACGTACGCGAGTTTTCGTGAAACGCGTTTTGCCCCGTCTCGCGCGAGCGAACTAAAGTTTTGCGGCAGATACGTGAAAGGAAAAATCTCCGCGACTTCCCTGCGGAATGTAGACGTCATGCTTTATTCATGAGGTCGCTAAATGCGGCCCATTGCTCTGGATGTATATTTATTGCGATTTCCACCCCCGCGCATATAAGGCGCGCGCAATATTTTGCTGACCGTGCTGCTACAATACTAATATTAGATTTACGCGGAGAATTATGTCGTGTGATTTTCTCTTTTTTTTTTTTCTTTTTTTTTTGAAAGAGACCGACCTGTTCGCGCGGAGTGAGTTTAGCAGAGAGATCTCAAAAAAGTATCTCTGGCAGTAATATAATTTTACGCGCATAACAATTATACATCTTAATAATTAAAATATATTTAAAAAAAACAAGAATTCGTACGGTTCTATTTATATTATGTATGTAAATATCAATCTTGCTTGGAAAGAAAAAAACAGACCCCGGGAATCAGTATTTTTGAGAACGCCCGAAAATGATGTATCTCGCAGCGAGCGTATATTTGCGCAATTGATAAATGCAGACGCGGCAACATCATACATCTCTATCTGCTGAAGAATGTTATTTGCCTTGTGCGAACAGCGAGTTGCTACCCCATTACGCACACTCATCCGCACACGGGCCAATGAGTGCATTTACACAGAATGGCGCGGTAAAGCGAAGTAAATCTTCCCAGTCATGTGCACGCGCAAAAGTACGCGCTCGCGCGGGCGGCCGCACATGATTTACGGCGCTTCATTTCTGATCGATATACACAATAGTCCGTCCCCTATCCGCTTTCGAAAACCGGCAGCATCCGGCAGAATGGCGCTCTTTCCGCTAGCGATACATAAAGGGCTTCGTGCCCGTCAGCACGGTAATGATTTCATCCGATGCCGCGCGCGCGCGCGCGCGCGCCAGAGGAGCGCTCCCCTAGAAGACAGGAATTGATAGATTTCTCTCTTTTGTGAGCACCCGGGAGCCATGCAAATATTGAACTGAAAGCACAAGGCTCCTTAAAGCACTTCCTCCCTCCTCCCTTTCGCTATCGAGACTCTTTCCGAGTTATACGGCTCGGTCACGAGGGAGAGGATGAAAAGCAAAGACAGAGTGGAGGGAGAGATGAGGGTTGAAGAAGAAGGACCAAGATAAGAGAAGCGGAACGAGAAGAGAGACAGGGGAGGAGGAAGGAAAAAGACAAGAAAAGTACGGCGCCTCGAGTAGGTTTCTGCTTTTCCTTTCGCGTGTCACCTTTCCACCTTCGACATACCCGAACGATAGCTTCTTCTCACGTTCAGGAGTTGCATCTTTATTGTCTTCCGTCGTCCGTATCTCTCTTTCCCCCCCCCCCCCATTTCTCTCTCGCCCTGATTTCCTCTTTCATCAGGTTCGTCTTTTGTCCCGTTTTACTTTCCTCTCAGTTTAGTCCTCGCTCTTCTTCGCGCGGGCTTTTATTGCGAGCGAGAAACTTTCGAGCGCGCAACATGCCTCGAACGAGACTTTTCGACTTCGGCAAAATGAGAATCGAAAATGGCAACGCGGAATTTTAAATTAGACTTTGCTCTCTCCAGACATTAGGTCGCTCTGGAATGTGGTGTTTCATGCGAAGTTGTGCCGTTAATGCGCCGCGGAAAGAGTTTCGATTGCATCCTTCCTCGAAAGAGAAAAGAGATATAGAAAAGAGAGGCGCACAGTCTCGAATTTCATCTTCTGACTTGAACCCGTGGACGAAAATACGTTTTACTTATTTAGTTGTTGTCTTCTCTTCAGTAAATTGTCAGAAACAAAATCCAAATTATTTCCGAACTCTTTGCGCGTGTACTTTTTTTTTTTTATTACGAAGAAACATCAACAAAAAGCACGTTTAAAAAACGGAACAATGAAACGTAGAAAAATTAATGTACGCGTATCGCTAAATTATTAAATCGCGCGGGAAACTCGCGTTATTAAATTACAGTTACCGCGATTATTATTGCATTATACAATTAATTATTTTTTCAAAAAAAAAATAAAAAAAAAAAATGCTTTACAGACAGTAATTCCTCTTCTCGCACGTGTGTGTATGGAAGTATTAACATTTTTAAATACAGATTTTATGAGATGCTTTAATTATTATACGTATATTAACTCTGTCTGCATAATATATTCCGCGCTTTTTATCCATAGTCTATATACCGCGTCCTTATTACAATTCCGCACGAAGTGTGCATTTTAACGTTTTATTTATGCAGTGCTCCGTGACCTGTGGCACCGGAATACGGACGAGAACGATCGAATGCAGAGACGGTGTTGGTGCCATCTCCAGGGACTGCGACCCCGCGGAACGTCCTCGTACCGAACAGGAATGCAAGACGAACATCGCCTGTCCTATATGTAATTGCGTTATGTCTGAGCTAAATTCATATTTAGATCGAACGAGGACCAACTCAGTCGTGAATGGGCAAATCCGCAAATTTGCCAACGGGATATTTCCGTAAACTAATTACGCGAAGTCAGACACGCGCGCGGTTGTGTGCACGAAAACTGAACGAAATTTTTAAGCTCTCGTCCCCGAAGTGTGTTTACACCGTTTGCTTTTGCACAAATTCAATCGGTGGTTTAAACTGAAATAAAAAATCTAATAAAATAAAAAAATTATCTCTTTTCCATTAAATATTTTTGCGGTATTCGTCCGTTTGTCTGTCGAGAGCAATAGTAACGTTTGAGAATTTATGAACTGTTACCGAGGATTTGATGCGCTTTATCGTGCGGAATGAAATTGAGAAATGAAGTTTTCGCGCGCGAGCTCGCGAAAAATATCGGAGAGACGCGGTGATCTTATGTGCAACGGGAATATGCATGGAAAATGAGATGGCATACGAAATGTTATTTAGATGGAGACTCTATGACGCAGCCCCTGGTGCAACCGTATCCTCTGTCCCCGATGTCGGAGAAGTTGATGGACCAGCCGATATCTTCCGAATCGACGTAAGTGTACTATCTTCTTTTTATGTACAACATATATGCAGTTTGTATATTTAGAATATCTTACCGTGAATGTTACACAATCGTATCGATCGGATGAATGTTAAGACAATTGTTGTGAGAGATGGTAATTTAGCGATAAACCAACTTGAAACAACGTGATTTTTGGAAAATAACAACGTGACAAAAAAACATTATTCGATGATTATTTAATAACAATATCGGTTGTTTGTTACACAATAGAAATGTTTGGGTAACATGTTCTTTTATTTACGACAATCGAAATTGAAGAGCGTTTAAGATTTTATCTGACGACAAACACATGGTAACATGTGTTCGCTCTACAGCATGAAAAATATGAAAAGAAATATATTCCATCTATCTGTCTCTCTCTCTCTCTCTCTCTTGTTTGATCTAATTTAAAATCCAATTTAGATAGTTCCGCGAAACGACCATCGAACGATTAATTCATCGAGAGTTCTCGGCCCGCGTATAAACTTTCCGTTTCGCTATAATCCTCGCGGGATATGTAACATCGATCGCAATTCGAGAACAATGGCAGCAGCTTTAGAACAGCCATTACCACCGTAGCGAAATTCCATAAGATGTTGGGACCAAGATTCTCTTCAGTCAGCGTTTGTAACTTTCTCCCGATATTATCAGATAAATTTCCTTTGCCGCCTATACGGTAACTGCTGTTTCCTTATCAGAACTTAATGAAGATTCGTCCGTCACACAAAACTGTTTTGTACGAAAGTAAATGAGGGGAAAAAAAATTTACTGATTGCGTACGCGTGGCTAGTATGAGAAGTAATCGCATTTTTATTTTTTACGTTTTATTTGTTTGATATTTTTACGCAGCACGTAAAAAACAATTTTATTCTATTAAGAAATGTGCATTATAATACATTTCCAGTATGATTTCTAAACAGATTAAGAAGAAGCTTGTCTTTGAATTTGAGAAAAATTGATGAAATATAACATCGTTAACAAAATACATTGAAATTCTTTTTTTTTCTGATACTGGTAAAACAAATCGGCACGTTTGTAACAAAATATTTACTAAAAAATGAAAAATAATCTATCTGCTAATGAAATACAGAATGAGATTTGATTGTATTATTTGGACTATATAGTACGCGCGGAACAAAGAGTTCTATATAAAAAAACAAATGTTAAAGAATATTTGTTTAATTTATTTGATGATTTTGTTTTTCGTTCACTAAATTAAAATATTGAAGATAATATCATAAAGAGATAGAGAGAGAGAGAGA